GCATGTATTTTTCCTGCTTTTAATTGAGTGTTTATCTTGCTGTTGAGTTGTAAGCGGTCTTTTATCAGTTGCATGTTTTGTAAACACTTTTTACAAATTTTTTTTGCTTGTTCTTTCATATCATAATTTTTTTTTTTTTGTACTGGGAACTGAACTCACAACCCCACATTTGCCAGACAGGTGCTGTGCCAATGAGTTATATTACCAGCCCTCATATTTCTAATAATGTCTTTTAACAATCAGAATTTTTAAATTCTGGTGAAGTCTAGTTTGCCATAATTTTTTAGTTATCTACCAGATTTTGATGGTTTCTAATACAAAATATGATTGATGAGTTACTCAGAGTATATAATTCTTTTGATTGTTGGCTGAATACATATCATTCATTCTGTCCTTCCAGGAAGTTGAATTGTGACAGTAAATATGCTTATAAAGCAAAAAAAGGAAGACTTTAGAACATTTTTATTTTCCCTCCTTGACTCCACGTGGCAGTTAAAAATTTGAAACTCTTCAATGATTACTTTCACATAAATATTTTTGGAGTATTTCAGATGCCTTGATAGTAGTATATAATGGCAATTTGTTAGGAAATTTTGATTTATTTGAGACTTATAATCTTATTTTAAGAATATTTTTGGGAGTATAATAACATTTTATTCAATTTGTGATTAAATGTGGCTGGACTAGGTCTTTGGGTACAGACACCATGTCTTGGGACTGGGAAGTCTCAAGAATTACAAAAGAAAAAAGGAGGCTGGGCTGAACAGTGGACATCTTCGGGAGGCCTGGTGAGTCTGGGCTCTGCCTCCCTGTCCAATGTGCAAGGCAAGCAAAACCTCGGACACCCTCTGGGGCCTCCGTGGCTACCTGCCACACCCATAAGGTGTTGCCATAGGCTGGGCTGAACCACGGACATCTTCAGGAAGCCCTGTGAGTCTGGGCTCTGCCTCTCTGACCAGCGTGCAAAGCAGGTGAAGATCAGGCACCCTCTGGGGCCTTGGCAGCTACCT